GGGAGGGGAGGAAAAGAAAAAGGGAGTGAACTGAGTATAAAGAGTAACATTGATGTACAGGTAGGTACATCACTTCCAAAACCTTGAGAAAGGGTCTCATTACTCAATGTGGCTCACACTGCCCTTGAACTTATTCTGTGGCTGTGGTTGACCTTATCTGTTGGTGAATGAGTTGTTCCTAGTGCTGGGATCACAGGTGTGTGCCACTATGCTGGTGTATGAGTTGCTCTGCATCATAGGTAAAAACTCTACCAACTGAGCTCCATTTCCAGGTGCTCTGATTTGTGAGCTTTTCAAGTACTAGAATTATTGGTGTGTACCCATATTCTGTACAGAGAGAGGGAAAAAAGGAGAGAAGGGGAAGGAAGGGAAGAGAGCAGGCAGCACAGGTTTCTCTTACTTGGAATATTTCATCCTTATGTGATTCAAAGGAATGCAACTTGAGTTTCAGATTTCTCAGATCCCACAAGGCAACAGTCTACATACAATAAGAAAAAGAAATCAAGATAAACTTATTTAAGAAAAGCCTAGGGCCAGAAAGATAGTTCAGTGGATAAAGATGCTTGCTGCCAAGCCTGGTAAAGAGTCTGGTCCCAGAATCCACAGTGGAAACAAGCTCTGGCAAGTTGTCTTCCAACCCCCACACAACGTCACTGTATATATACACACCTATCCCTGCCAAATAAGTAATTTAGTGTGTGTATATACACACTTGTTCCATGACAACCGTGTAGAGATCAAAGGCTAACTTGTAGAAGTGGAGCTGGTAGTCATTTGTCTTGGGGACTGAATTCAGATATTTAGGCTCAGCAGCCTGATAAGACAAACTTTAAAACATTAACTAAGATATCTTTGCACATTTAAAAGATACTGAAGATAGCTTAGTGGTTAAGAGTACTTAGTACTCGTCCAGAGGGTGGTTCAGCACACACTTGATGTGTCACAAATGTATGTAGCTCCAATCCCAGGAGATCTGACACTATCTTCTGGTCTCAATGGACACCAGGCATATATACCATGCTGAAAACAAGCACGTAGGTGAAATTCCCTTAACCATAAGATATAAAACCTGAACAACTCAAACAAAGCAAACTGACCTTGTCAGCTGATCCTGTGGCAAGAATGAACTCACTGTAAGGATTGAAAGACAGGCAGTTCACTTCAGCAGTGTGAGCATCGACTGAGTGGCTTGGCTTGGAAGTATTGTTTGAACGAGTATCCCAACTTCATTTAAGAAGAGAAAACAGGAAACGAAGCTTGAAATGGTGACTAATACAATACTCTGAACATACATATTAAAAAATAAACAACGGGGTCCACTCACATCATAAGTTTCTGGTCATCAGCAACCGACCCAAACAGAGATTCGTGGAGCAGATGCCAGGAAACGTCCTCTACTACTGCTGTATGCCCCGTGAAGATGGTCTTCGCATCCACCACTTTTCCTTCCTTTGGAACTGCACTGATGTCCCACAGGCAGATGGTCTTAAAGATAAAATTAAGCATTATATAAAAGACTCTCACTTCCCCAACATATCCCCCAAAAAGAAGCCAAATTGCAATAACTCCAGATTTTCTTCAAAACTAAAAGGATACGCACATGGTCATCTGAAGCACTGAGTAAGTGCCCGCTGAGATTTGGATTCCAAGAAAGACCATAACCTTCCTTCTGATGTCCGCGGAGACGCAAATCTGGGTTGCATTCTCCAGAAGGGTCTGCAAAGTAACAGACATATCTAGACTATCCAGCCCATTGCCTCTCTGGGTTTATTAAGCAAAATGATGTCAAATGTCTATTATACAGCTCACAACTGTCTGTAAATCCAGCTCCAGATCTGACACACCTTCATACCAATGCACATAAAATAAAGTTAATTACATTATATATAAAAAAAATTAACAGGGGGCTAGAGAAATGGCTCAGAGGTTAAGAGCACCAGCTGTTCTTCCAGAGGTCCTGAGCTCAAGTGCCAGCAACCACATAGTGGATTGTAACCATCTATAACGAGATCTAGTGCACTCTTCAGATTTTAAACAAATCTTTAAAGAAACAAAATACCTATCATACAAAATACAAACCCATTATGGCCAACTATATAATGCTCAGTTGCAAAATTATGATTTCCTCTACATAAAGCATCGTTTCACTTGAGAAGCATAAAAATACCCACACATCAATAAAACATAAGATGTTAAATTATAAAAATAACAGAATATTTCTGAGTAAATGGAACCTGTATCTGATTAAAAAGGGGGAAGTACCTGGTTTAGAAGGATGCTTTGTGTAGTCAAAAACAAGCACATCACTGGATGGAGTCTTTGTTGCAATGATGCAAGGGTTCTGGGGCATGTACCGA